TTTTTTTTTTTTTTTGGTTCACATTGGCTCTTCTAATCTTAACTCAGTTCTCAAGACAGCTCCAGAAATCAGGCCTGATGTGTTTGGCCTTAGATATTAGAAATAGATACAAAAATTTCTATTTCCAGGTATGTTACAAGCTTTAATGAAGACTGGATTGAAATTATGTTAGAAGTTTAATTTTCACAACTTTTTTCTACAGTAAATAATGAAGAATTTTTACATTTTAAATAGAAAACTGCTTATTCTAGGAAAAAAGTGTGAAATGGCGACTCACATTCTCTTTTGAGAAGGTAAGGAGTTAAAATTTGCTATTTTTCAGATTTATGCAAGCATTTGATTTAGAATCTATGTCATGTTTCAAGCATGTGCGACTTTTTTATTGTAACAACCTATTGATAACAAAACCATTATTAAAGTGATCACCATTGATCATCACTTACCTGTAAACACCTTCTCCAATTTTCTGAAAGCATCTCAGTTTTGCCTGTCCTTTAACATTCTGTATAATTCTTGAACATCATTCACAAGCTTTTCCTGCCTGCCTGCTCACACATCTTTGTTTTTCCTGTGTCCTGAGAGAATGGTTATCAGCAGTCCTTGCAACTCCACTATCCCTGTTCTCTTTTGATCAGAAAGATCACTGTGTGGGGACTGTGTCACTGTGTGTGGGGACACCTGGAAATAACATTGCCATTGCTCTGGTGCCAAGTTAGGCACTTCCAAGAATAAGCAAGCTGTTAGGCAGTATAAATGTTCAATTGTACAATACCCACAACACCACAGGTCAGGAGTGTGGGTATTTGAGCTCAACACAGCACAATTTAAACGCAGGCAGTGAATCATGACTGTCCCCGGTATGGGGAGCACCCCAGGGCGTGCAGCTCTGCACAGGCTGGCACAGGCTGGCAGTGCCCCTGTGCCTGGGAGGAGTGGCACGTTATTTCAGCCATCCCTGCAGCTTTGGTGACCTTGCAGGAGCTGGCAGCGTGCTCAGAGCAGCACAGCATCCCGCCATTCTCACAAAACTTTCCCAAATCCCTCCTTCTGCCCTGCCCAGGCTCTGTGAGTGGAGCTGAGCGAGGTTTGCTCCCCACTTGTGTCGTGGTGTATTCCTTACCTTGGGAAAGGCAAGGGTTAAGGACCTGTCTCAGGTGCCTCCCTGGAAACTTTGGAAGTAGATTGCTCTGTTTTCCAGGGGATTGTGTCCCATGGTGCTGCCCAGCCTGTGTTGCAATGGTGCAAGAAGAATTTTGTCTGAGGCCTGCAGCTTTTCTCTTCTTCCAGCCAGCACCACCCTGGCAGCTGTGCATTACAGTCAAATAATTAATAATTATTCATAATTCAAATAATTATTAAATTAAAAATAAAATAATTTCAATATCATTTCTTAATTAAACAATTTATCCTTTAAAAACCTTCTTAAAAATACATAACCATTTTATACCTTATTAAAACAAAATATTATAAAACTCACTACTTATAAAACAAATTAGTTTGTCTTTTGTAATACTGGTTGTGATTTAAGGGCAGACTAGATCATATTTGTGACCAAGAAAAAAAGCTTTTCCTGCTAAGCTATTGTTTACATAGAGTTTTGTTTGAAAACATCTGCCTTGTGCATGAGCGTGTCCAAACTAAGTGATGCAAGCCAGCATAGCTGAACTGCTACACAAATAACATTTCTTAGATATAATTTTCCATTCAGATAGGGTTGCAGTCTATCAAAACTTAGATAATCTATTCCTGTGTTGTTTAGCACCACAGGGTTTCTAAATGCTGCAATAAAAAATATTCATAAATCATCCACAATACCTTCCAGCACAGCTCACAGCACTCATTACACAGCAGGTTTCTGAATGCTGAAATGTGAAATCAGAACAAAAGTATTTCCCAGTCAGTGCTGAACCCGATGGCTGTGAGGCTGCATCAGCATTTCTGGCTCCTGCCTCATGGCAGCTGTGGTCACATCTTGCCTGCTTCCAAAACATTTGGGAAACATCTTGCTTTGTTTTCCCCTTCAGCTTAATTCCACTCGGTCCTCCCTCTGAGAAACTTAGATTTTGGTCACAGATGTAGGAGAGTTTTCCTTTACCCCACTTTTGTTACGAGTACAGTCGAGGAGAACAACAGGGGTATGTGCCTGACTGAACATTGATGACCAAACTTAATAAAGTGCTGCCGTTTCTCTCTCACATGGTGAACATTTGGGCTCTTGTGTCCCTGGCCCGTTCTAGGCTGCGATTTGCGGATATTCTGATTAATCTTGCACTGCCCTCTGGCTTTGCCCCTGCCTCGCTGACCGAAGCAGCCACGGACGCTGCCGGCTCAAGGGAACGGGGCCCGGCTGCTCTGTTCCCTGCTCCGGCAGCCTGGTGGCAGCACCAATCCAGAAGGAACGCTGCGTTTTCCTGTGGCATCGCCCACATCCCGAGCATGTCGAGAGTCACTCCATCACCTGTGGAAAGGCCCAGTGGCGTGTAATGCCAAAATACTGCTTTGCAGTTCCCAGGCCCTGGGCGTTGGCAGAGATTTTCCTGCCTTGGAGCGGGGCCCAAGGGACACGTTCGTTGTGTTCTTCCCTCTTGTCGCTCTGATTCATTCACCTGACTTCACATGCACTGCCCCAGCCCTGGAGTGACCCAGGCCAGGCTTGGAGCAGCCTGGGCTAGTGGAAGGTGTCCCTGCTCATGGCACAGAGTAGCACTGGATGAGCTTTAATGTCCCTCTCAAGCCAAACCAGGCTGTGATTCTCTGAATGCAGGGACAATGATTTTAAAAATAAAGTGGTTAAATTTATATTTTAGTTAAAGCAAATTTTGGGGTTGGAGTTGGGTAATCAGGGTACATAAATAAAAATTCCAAATGCTGTTTTTTCCCACTTGTTTTACCTCAGAAACAGGATATATAAAATAACCTGGGAAACATAATAAAATAGTTGTTAGGAAAATCGAACAGCGACTGCCTTCTGTAATTTCTTTGGAAACAGTTATTATTTTAAGGAGACAACATTTGTTCAACCTTCATCTCCAGTGAAAGGAAAAACACTGTAAAACCAGACTGAATATGGGAATAGCTATATTTAAATAAACAGTTGGTGTGTCTCCAAAACAGAAACTACTTGAAATGAACAGAACAGGCACAAGTGGCCCCAGGTTAAAGTGGCCTAGTAACGGAATGGTTTGGAATTGTTTCACTGACAGCATCTGGGGCCTGGTTCAGCCTCTCCCATTGCTCACCAGGTGATCTCCCCCTGTTCTGACCTTTAGGCCTCTCCTGCTTAGCAAGTCCTGCCTTAGGGGCACTTTGAGTGTGTTCAGTGCAGAGAGACACTACAAGGGACTGGCCCTCTTACCTGCTGTCACCAGCTGCTTTTACAGCACACGGGGCAATTCTTCTCTCCCTCTGACCCCAGCTCTTTTGGGAATGGTACTTCCCTGCTGGCTGACATTCTGGAGTCTGGCACAGCAGATGTTTGCCATCCAGTCTGCCTGTGCTTCAACTCTTCACAGTTTTTGAGAGATTCCTCTGTGAAGAGCAGCTAAAAATCTACATGCAGTTGCTGCATGAGACTGTAAAGCCAGTGCCAGCACAGTAAAGCAGCAGTCACTGAAGTGATTTCTGTTCCAAAATAGAATGGCAGGTGGTTTTCCAGCCTGGAGCCACCCAGCATGGATGGTGACTGTGGCAAACACCACTGGCCCTTCAGGATGGTCTTGTGGGCTTTGACCCTTAGGACCCCTTGCAAGCAACCTGGGCTCAAGCCCTTGGTCATTGAAGTACTGTGAGTTTGGATAAAATGGGTGCCTGATTTCTCCCTGCCCTAACACTGATTAATTGTTTGGGGTTTTCCCCTGGGCTTTGCTAAGTAATGCCACAGAGTGCCTGGGGAGACACAGTCTGTTGCCTTGCAGTTGTTTTTCACTTTCCTGGGGTGTTTTTTAGAGTTTGAAGAGACTGACAGTGATGCAACTGGAGAACAAAAACATCTTTATCCAATTAACGAAGCTGCTGCTCCGTTCCCCGAGTGCCACCTGGAGCCAAGGGATCCCCGGGGCTTGCATAAAGCAGGGCTGTGCCATTCCCCGGCTTCGCCTGCCCTCTGCTGCCCTCCCGGGCAACTTCAGCACTCAGAGCTCCATTCAGCTGCTTTATTCCGGCTTTCAGGGGCTTTCATAGCATGCACAAATAGAAATGTACACAGGCAAGGAAATCACAGCATACCTTGACACAGTGTTGTTACTGCATTTAATCCCTGGAGGGGTAAAACTTCCACAGTGGCAGTTGTTTGACAGCTCCAAAACCTGCGTAGCTGCAGTGACTGATCTTCATTAGGGCTTTAATTACATCACAGAACTTAAATATGTGCTCCTGAGTGCTGCTTTTTGCTGGGCCACTGGTTTGTGCTTTATTTCAGGAAGGATTTTCCCTGATTGATTCCCACAAGTGGCTGAAGATAGTGAGGAGAGCAGAGTGCCTGCTGCTCCGGGCAGAGGCCAAGGTGAGCTGAGCTGCTTGGAACATTCCTAATATGTAACAGAGATGGAGAAAATCTCTCCATTTTGGCTACATTAAACTAGAAGGTGTAAACCATCTATGTAAATTAGAAATGTTTTTTTTTACTCTAGATACTAAACAGGAATGGATTGGATATTGTTATCTTTTGTAACTGCAAATATTCAGTTTTTAGACTGCTCTCTGAGAGTTAACTGCTAAAACAGCCAGACTGGTTTTATTTCCCAATCTATCTGCCACGGCTAGCAAAAAGATGAAGCAAATCTCTTCCAAGATTCCTCTGAGTCAGACTGCACTTCAGGAAACAAACTCTAACCAAGCAATTACTGAGCCATTTTGTGGCTCCTGGCATAGCAGCAGCAGGCTGGTGGTTAAGGTATTTCGTACTCAAGGAAATAAAATGGACATGGGTTTCTAGTCTCCCACTTGGCTCTCCTGATGAAAAGTGGTTGGTTTGCCTTTAAATAATCAAACAGCACTTTCTTCTTACCAATTAATGTAAAAATCTCAGGGCTTTTTGTTCCTAGATGAACTCTGATACTCTGTGAGTATCTTAGTGCTTTAAATTCATGGGTTATGCCTGAAACCAAAACCCCTCTGCACTCTGCTTTCTATCAGCTTGTTAGAAAACCTGAAGGCAGCTGGGGCAGGAATTAGTTCTGATGAACCAGTTCCTTCCCAGTTACCAGAGCCAGTTCCCCAGTGCAGCATTAAGGGATTCTGCTGCTCCTCCCCAGCAAGACAAAACCAACATCACACTCCCTGCCAGGCTCGAGCAAAGCTCTGAGGGGCACTTCAGGAAAGGAGGAATTTTAACAGTCTGAAATTAATTTGGTGCACCTCAGTGTTTACTTACCATAAATTCACACTTCAACTGGATTTAGTGGCACTGCAGCGGTTCTACCACATAGCTTCTCTACTTCATACCCTAACAGTGGATGCAGCTTCTGTGCTCATCTTGATGACGAATTTCTGGTTAATCTTGTACCCCTTGTTTTTTGTAAGTCATCAATACTGCGTTTACAGTGGAACTTACTCATCACTTCAAATATGGCTTCAGTAGGGCACTGCAGGCTCTTAGCCAGCAGAATGAGTTTCAAAACTATGAACAGGAACAAGATTAATATTTTAAATAATTTTGCAATAAAAAAATTCCCTTCATATTGTTTTCCTTGAGCTCAGCCCCCCACCCCAGCATGGAAGAGGCACAAATTTAATGATTCCATGACATCAATGTTGTTTAAGATTTCAGCTTTTGTCGTTCAGGTGTGAGTGCCCAGTCCTCAGTTTATTCTATAAACCTTGACATATCACAGCTCTCTTTCCACAAAGACACAATGTTTAATTTTCAAAGTCCGCTGCTGTTTATGAACTGCAAACTAAAGTATTTAACACCTTGTGAGAAACCCGAGGGACTCCAAATAGCTCAGCCTCAAAATTGATTTGGGGATCTAAACAAGCAAGTGCTCTTTGAAAGTGTCCTAAAGAGACTCCACCCAAGTTCCTTTTGTGTCACTGAAATCAGAACTCGCCTGTCTGGCATTGCACAGCTCAGTGCGTGGCTCTCTGAGGCTGCCCCAGTTCCTTAATTAAGGAGGGCAAATCCAACTGGGCACTGGCAAATGAGTGCTGCACTTCACATTAGTTTGACATTTTTCCCTTTAAAAAGCACTGAGGCTTTTGTGCTTACCCTGCCCTACAAATCTTGTTATGGGATTCAAACATCTTCAAGCAGCAGGCATGTAAACACAGAGGCTGTCAGGAGGAGCTGGCTCATCTCCGAGACAGGAGCTTTAAAGTGAGAGGTGTCCTCGTGTTCCAGCAGCCCAGCAGTGTGGGATTTAAATGGGCATTGAAAATGGGGTTTACACTGGAACCTCAGGAAGATGAACACCCAGGCTGGGCTTTTCTCATACTTCAAGTAATTTAAATTTGAAATTTCAAGATCAAACAGGAAGTTCCATTAATTCACTCTCTAAACACTGAATATGCACCTACCTTACATCAGCTCAAGGTACTTAAGCCAAGCTTATCACACACCAAAGATTCCCATCCCCATTTCAGGGCAGTTTGCTGAACCTGGGGCACTTACTTATTAAAAATACCAATTATGGTACAGCCCAACAACCTACTCTGGGGGGTCAGAGCTATCTGGGAGTTTTCAATAATTTTTAGCATCATTTCACTCTTTGAAGTAACGCATTAGAATTTCCTGCACTCCTATTCAACGTGTTGGTTTCTGTTCAAGGAACATTTAGGTGAGAACCAAACTGAATGTATTGGTTTAGCTCCACACAGGCAGACCAGGTAGGGTTGACTTCGATGCATCAAGAACATGAATCCTAACCAGAATGTGCCATTCCCAGAATTTCTAGTTCAGATCCAGAGTTAACTTTTGCTTACTGTCGTGTTATTTTTTGTTACAAATTACTGTGCAGAGCTGGCACACCCTTACAGAATTACTACCTGCAGCAACAATAAAATTTAATTTTCCTGCTACATGTAAAAGCTGAGTCCTGGCAAGGCTTGTCCACTTGGCTAAACCTTGAATTAGTGACAGGTGGCCCTGCATCACTTACCCTTTTCTTGCATATTTTTACCTGATTTTCAAATCAGCTATCACAGTCTTCCGATTAAGCTGCTGGGAAAAAATGAAAATACAGCAGGGAAAAACCTGTTTGTTTTTAAATTGGCACAATGATCCAAAAATCTATTGCCCATTTCCCAGCTCCAACAAATATGGATTTAATCCAAGCAGTCTGAGGGGATTCCAAGTTAATTTGATTTCCCTGTGCTTCTGAGCAGAACGAGTGCCGCATGTTCCGTGTGCAGTTCGGAGGGAGCTGCAGGGAGGAGATGCAGGAGCACTGCTGCAGCTGTGTCCAGAAACTCAGCGAGTACGTCCCGGTGCAGCGGGCTGAGGAGCAGAGCCTCAGCCAGGACACCCAGGGCATGGACACTGAGCACGCAGTGAGTGACCACACACCCCCAAACCCAAACCTCTGCCTGGGAGAGCTGGGCACGAGGAGCTTCTCACAGCTCTGTCTGCATGAAATAGGAATTGGGAAAGTTTTTGTACAGGGCAAAAGATGATCAGTGCCACAACACAACCCTGGATCCTTTCTGTGTTTACCTGTTTGCAGTGGTAGTAGCTGCTACAAATGCCTATTTACAATTCGAACCTAACCTGGCACATCTAAAAGCAATCCCAGGATGAACAGAATGGTTCCCCTCTGCACGATAAAAGTCCTGAGGTAACTGGAAAAGACAGAGACAGATGGCATTTTCCAGGGTGGTTATTGCAAACTCTCTGCTCTCCTGGGTGTTTGGATCCATGGAAAAGAAGCAGTGTGCACACTGCATTTTTTGAAGTTACTCCTAGGAAGTTGTTTGTGACTTCAGTTTAGCCACGAGCTAACAAGCCTGTAGTTAAACTGTCATGTCTTTCAATTTTAAAGACTGGAGCAGATGTGCATGCAGGTTCCATAAAAAGATGCCTTTTTACTGCAGAAGGTAGCTGAGCACATTCCCTTCCCGTCAGTGCTAAAAATGGAACTGCTTCCCCCCCTGCACATACCCACACTCTGCTTGGTAACAAGCCCTTATTTGCATTTGGTATTTTCTAGCCAGATGAGCCTCTCTCAGACTCCTGCACAAGCCTTGGAGAAAGAAGATCTGTAGCACAGCTTGCACAGGTAAAAAACAAACATCTCCTGTTTAGAGTCTGTAACTGAGCCTGAGAATGAGCTGTCTCAGAGTCCATCTAGGAAATGCCTTTCCTGAACATCAGGATGCCATCATCTACACCAGCAAAACACTGGATCTGTGTAATGATCCAGAGCCAGGGAATAAGCAGCAAAACAAGGTGTTTGGTGGTGTAATCACCCCATCTGAATGGGAACAAATGACACACTGAGAGCAAAGAAATACCCAGAGGCAACATGCAAATGAATGGTTCTGGCACTGGTCTGACTCTGCAGAAATGACTCGTGGAGATCAGAGCTGAAGCCTGAAAATACCAATCAAAGAATCACAGAATATCCCATCTAACCCCGCTCTCTGGCAGTGAGAACCCATTCCTCCTTGTCCTGGCATTCCAGGCCCTTGTCCCCAGTCCCTCTCCAGCTCTCTAGGAGCCCCTCAGGCACTGGCAGGGGCTCTGAGGTTCTGCTGGACCCTTTTCAACCCTGTCCCACAGCAAAGCATCCCCATCCTCCACGGACAGCTTCACTGAGCAGTTCTGGGTAAACACCTGAAACCAACTGGTGCTCATTTACTGGGAATTCAGGCCAGTGTAGAAGCAGATGAGCAGAAAACTCTGCTCTTTTCTGGTTTTGTAAAGTTCCTTCTCTCTGTCTTCCTTACCTTTCTTTCGTAGTCACTGCTGAGCAAAGAATCCCAGACTGGGCTTGATTGGAAGGGACCTCAAAGATCTCTTCCCAACCCCAGTGCCACAATACCCAGAGTTCACCCACCACCATGGGAAAAATCCAGGAGAGGGGATTAAACAGGGATAAAAAGGAAGTTTTAACATAAAAGCCCCACACTTTACTTCTAAAAGACATCTGGCTAAATGAAAAGCTTGGGAGTGCACGCTTGGTTATCCCTACACAAATCCATGTGGCAACATGTACAGCTCATAAAGAGTGTACACTGATTACAGAATGGGTACCCACCAGGAAGCCACAGTACCCAAGAAATAGGCATTTGCAGGGTAAATTTCCAGCTGAAATAATTGCAGGGGCATTTGACAGTGTGCAAAAGCTACACTGGAATCACACCTGGGCATCACAGACAAGCTGACACACAGAAATCACAGCTGATAGCATTCCACGAGCATCAAACACCGGCAGCCCCACGATCCTCCGGCATCCAGGAGGGCTGGGGTGCGGCTGTGTCCTTGTGCCCGAGGTCAGAGCCCCCGTGCCCCCTTCCATTGGCAGGCGGTGCTGCGGCAGCGGCCGGAGCTGCCCCCGGCGTGCCGGCACCCGGCCTGGAGCGCCCGCGAGCTGGGGCCCTTCATCCGCCTCTGCCTCATGGACCAGCACTTCCCCGCCTTCGTGGAGGACGTGGAGAAGGAGCTGCACAGACTCGCCCAGGAGTGAGGCACGCCCGGCCCTGCGGGGGGTGCACACAGCTCTGGTGATTAAAGGTTGAAAAACGAGGCCTACGGCGGTTTTTGTCGGTGTTTTATTTTTAAAAACAGGTGAATCCACTTTTTATACATCATTGCACTTCAACAAATACACAGAACACGAGTTCATGCAGCTACAGTTACGCACATCATGAGAACCCTGGTAGGTCTATTTCTACAATCTTTAAATCATGAGAAATTACAGTGTCAAACTAAAGAGGAATAACTAGTTGCATAGAATATCACCATGCTGTAACATTTCATCATTTAAACAAAAAAAAAAAAAAAAAAAAAAAAAAAAAAAAAAAAATTTAAAAATTAAAAAAAAAAAAAAAAAAAAAAAGAAAATTATAAAAGTTTGCCTGAATTGAATGTACAAGAATATGTCGAACACATCAGTGCAAAAGGATTTGAGAATTTACATGAGTTAACAAAAAAAAAAAATCACTTAAAAAGCAATCATATATATATATATATTTATAAACTGAAGGTTTGTTTTTGTTTCCAACTGCATCCCACCACCACCAGCAGCCCCTGGCACCACCCAGCCCCGACGCCCAACAGGACACCCCGTGCTCCCTGGTTAAAGCCCTTAAGGAAATTCCAACATCCCTGCTGCGAGCACCGGCCCGGCATCACTCCCTCCTTCCAGCCATACAGTAAGGAATGAATATCAGCAGCTTCAAAATGAACCACAACGACTTCTGGTTTCCCCTCCCCCAAATATAAATATATACTGTATATATCTTTAAGTTTTGCTGTACTTTACAAAAGAAGTCTCACTAGATGGCAGCGGTGCGGTTTGAGCGGTGCTGAATTTAACAGCTACAGGAAGTAAAAAACAGCGCATGCGTGAACCCGCCTGGCTACTGCTCGTGTAAAGAGAGGAAAGGAGAAAAAAAAGCAACATTCACAGCACATCAAGCCCAAAAGTTTACACCTTCTACACGGAAGCATTATTAAAATTCATCTGGCTAGGTCATCCTTGCAGGAGAGGCTAAATAAGGCATGCGTTAGACAGTCATATTGTTGCTCACTTGGAAAGGAAAGAAAAAAAAAAAAAGAAATCAGACAGAACTGGAGTTCTAGAACCAAGAGTTCCAACCCTTAAATTTAGCAGGTCATATTGCCATCAGTCTCTCAGAAACTTAAAGCTCTAAAAAAGAAACGAGAAAGAGGTGCTAGTCAATGGTGAACAGCGCGAGCCGCCGCAGCCTGCAATCCCCATGCTCCCACCGGGGCACGGCTCCCGACAGCCCCAGCTCCACCTTTAGTGGGGAATCAGTCTGGAGGGCAGCTCTGTCTAGGTTTTAGCAAGCAGGTCCTTAAACCACCCGCCTGTTAGAGGAAATCAAGGGTTGGTCCCCCCCGCGCTCCCTGAGGGGAACGTTTTAATGCAGGGAAGGCTTTGTGCCGCGCCCCCAGCACTCCGGGCAGGAGGGCTGGGCCTGCCCGCTCCCGGCCGGGCGCAGGCAATACTTACATGATGAGCATTTTTAATTTGTGTTTCTCTGACGTAAGTTTTTGTCTTTGTGATTGTTTGTAGAATTGGTTTTCCTGCAGAGAGGCATGGGAGAGAAATGCACCAAAAATCAGTCACGGGTACAGGAAAAACGGACGTTACTTGTAGCTCATTAGACAGCGTTTCAGACTTCCTCCTTTTAATTGGCTGAAGACAACACAGTCTTAGACTTTGTATTTTAGCACAATATTTGTTTTCGAGCAAGATGTTGCTTTTCTTTCCTCCAGCGCTAAGAAACACACCAGACGGTCCAGCACCATCTGTAATGTCACATGCAATATCAATCCTATGATTTATCACCTCCCACAACCCCCCCAGATTAACCCAAAGAGCATTTTTTTCCTGAAAACACACTTACATTGGCCCAGCTGGTTCATCATCTGCAGCAAGCATCCCGATGCACCCAGGGAGACACAGGGAAGGAAAGAAAAAGAGAGTCAGTGTTTGCAGGGGGCTGCAATGAAAGCAGCAAACTGATCAATCTACAGCATCAACGGCCATTCCAGTCGGGAGTGCAAGGATCATGGAGTTACTGCTCTGGATTTGGGTTTAATGGCAGGTATGTTGCTTCAATGGGTTTAGTTAACACTTGGAATGCTGGTCATGAAGGACTGCAACTGTAGCGGACAGATTGGTGCAACATGGTCAAGACTCATCTTGTCCCCAAGTTCCAGTGGTTCAATCTCATAAAAAATAGATGAGGAGACAAACCAACGGTTCAGTTGTAAAATCCTGCTGGATGTTTGCTTGCATTGACTTTTTTTAATATGTATTTAAATTTTTAAGCCATTTTTCCACTGCTGATGGGTAACTCCTGGTATATACCCCAGAGGGTACATACCCCACACTCATTTTCCCCCACGGATGAAACAACCTCTACATTCCCCATTTTTCTCAATGTTTAGTTAAAAGGGACCAGATTAGGAGGAGGCTGAAGGGGAACACTTGATTCCAGCCTCAACCACGGTCCTTGGGCAGCAGCATCCAGTGTCACCAGGAGGACCAGGGTGCTGGAACACCTCCAGACACACTTCAGCTGCAGAGAGGACTGACGGCATCGTTCTGCCCATGGCCCTTGGCAAAACTCATTTAGGAGCTGGCGGGGAGGGGGAAATCTGCCAGTGAGGAATGTTTTATATTAACTCTCATGACCAATTGGGCTTTTTTTTTGGAATTCTCAAACACTATCTTCTCCCACGCTGTAGTACAGAAGACAAAAATGCATTTACACGACAGTACAAGAGTCAATCCAAGAGCCTAATGCTCCCACAGATGGATTTTGGGGGGGACCAATTCAGGCCCTGCTGGTTTTGGCACTTGACAGTTGTCATTCCCACCTCGTGCCGGAGGGATTTTTCACGGAAGTCTTTGAGAAACTCTCAGCAGGATTCCACAAGGGTGCTTAGTGCACATGAAGCAGTTATGGAAATTACAGTCTTACAGTGTAGGCATCCGCATGAGCACACGCCAGGAGTAATGTCAGGGAGAGGGGACATTACTCCACCTGGGCCTCGAGGCAACGGAGAGGCAAAGCCACCGCTAGCACAGACAGTGACCAGAACAAAAAATACTTCAAAAATAAAGAACTAACCACAAACCAAGAGCTTTACAGCCAAAGTAACAGACTAGCGACACACCGGTGTCCACAGAATTCCAGTACCAGCAACAGTAACTATCGGACACGGTACAGAGAACTGGGACCAGGAAGGACAGCCAGACATCAATGTGCTGTTGTATATACAGTGAGATATACAGAGACACATCAGGTACTCAAACACAAAGCACAGCAGAGGAATCTACGGCTTCCTTCCACAAACATCTTTGGGAATCGAGGATCCGAGAGCAGCCGAGCTCCGCGCTCCGGGCGGGACGAGCCAGGGAGGGACAGCGAGGCCTGGCCCCCAGCGCCAGCGCCGCCAATGAGACCCCACTCGGCTCCAACAAGCACCATCGACTGCTTTGGGAGTTTGTTTGGCTGGACTTCAGCAATATCAAACTGCACCGTGGACACTCACTACAAAATAACCATTTTCCCTTCTCTGCTCAAAGATTTGTTTCAGATCAGCAAGTTTGTGTTGTCCAATAAAAAGAAAAAAAAAAAAAAGCAGCTTCACATTTATAAAGGCTGCCATTGGTGATTCCTCACGAAGATCCCACAAAAAAGCCTACTGGGAATACTTTAGATCGTGGATCCCCACCACTCCTCCCTGTCCCATCTCTAACCTAAACCAGAGATAAAAAGACCAAGGGAAATTCCCGGTCAGCCGTTAAGTGCTGGAAAAGCATCCCCAGTACAGTACAGACACAGACCGAACCCTCAGCGAAACCAGGGGCAACAGAACAACAGAAAAACCAGTACAAAATCAGACTAAAGAAAAGGTTCAAAACAGCAAACTGAAATCCAAATTAGTTGTGAACGTGAATGAGGAAGTTTTCAAGAGTGTTAACGTTATGACTTGTGCGTTGTATAGACTGAAGCGGAGGTTAAACAAACTCCAAAGCATGCAGAGCTCTCACTTACCACCATTTTTTAAGGGTATGATGCAATTGAAGGGGGGAAAAAAAAAAAAAAGAAGTCATAGTAACCGACAAGATCAATATCACCCGAAGCTTCAATGCCACAGCCCTGCTCTAGAACAGTCAGCAGCACCTAGGGCACGGAAAGGTCCCCCAGTGCTCCCCAGCACTGCCAGGAGCACCCACTGACCACAGCGAGCCCCTCCTGCTGCAGGATCTGCCCTGGGACTGGGCACAACCCCCTGGTCACAGAACACAGCAATAACCCCGCAGCCAGGCCTTTCCTCAGGGGATGGAATGACCTGCTTCACAGGGTGCCAGAACTGCACATTCTGAGCCAAAAAGGGGAGAGCTGCTGCTTGGCTTTAACACAGGTAATCAATCCCTGCAGGCAAAAATATCTGGGGATTAAAACTGGAAGATGATGACAAGTAGATCTCCCTTAGATCCTCCACTTGGATGGGAATGTGTTTTGTGCCCCTCTCCCATTTTCAGCCTTAATTTACATGTCATTTTATATGTCACTCACTTTGTTTCACTGCCTTTGGAAAGCTACAGGGTTTATTTTTAGTATCAAATTAATCCTGGGTAGAATCTTGTGACTGGTGGAAGTTAAAAATGAAACACCAGCGGCTTCTTCCAGCACTAAAACTCCAGTTTTTGCTTCTGAAGGGATTCTACATCTCAGCTCACGCTTTAAAACCTGCAAAGAATCAATCCCAGACTGGTTTGGGTTGGAAAGGTCCTTTTTTAAACCCATCCAGTGCCACCCCTGCCATGGGCAGGGACGCCTCCCACTATCCCAGGATGCTCCAAGCCCTGTGCAGGCTGCCCTTGGGCACTGCCAGGGATCCAGGGGCAGCTCAGCGCTCAGAAGGAGCAGCCAGAGCCTGTGACAGCTCAGGGTCCTGTGTCCATTCCCACGGGGATACAGCAATGCTGCTGGGAACAGCTGATGGCTGTGGCCTCATTATGTACCTGCCTCACAATCTGCTCACCCTGACAAATTTAAAGTGTGGGAGAGAAAGATGTGCATAAAAGGGGGAAAAAACCCACTAAAATCACTGGTTACAAAAGGTAAATGGTTGCAGTTAAAACAGTTTTGTTTCTTTCAATTACTTACAGTAATAGCAGGAACAGGGAAAGTCAAGAAAAAAGCAAAAGAGGGTTAGAAAGAATGTGGGGATTTGGATGGAGCTTCTGCAGAGTCAGGAGAAGAAACACATT